GTCGATTCTGACATCATCATAGTTGAGAAGAGCTTTCTTCTCTAGGAGATGCTTTGGAGAGGGGAGCAGAAGGGCATTATTTGCCTCGAGGTCAGGGCTATAACGTGAATACGGAAGAACTCTCCGTCCCAGAGTCTCGAAATTTTCCTGAATTTTCTTAGCAAGAGGTTTTTCAACGGTGTCATACAAAAGCAAACTTTGCCTTGTTTTTCTTTCGTATTAAAAGCGTTGCATTCGAGCTGTGGATAGTTGACTTTCGCGTTGACTGCGACATCTACACGGAGGGGTTTCCAGAGCTTAACTCCTCCCGTGTTCCACCAAAAGATCCGAGAAGGCCCTACTTGGATGAGATTGAACTTAAGCAGTAAAATCTCCCGAAGCGTTTGAGCTGGACTACCGCCGCGCTTGTTCATTTGTTAGTAAACTGTACTCACTCCTCATCTTCGGCAAATGTGGTGGAATGGTCAATCGTAGAATCCCTAGTAAGTCGACTTGAACATAACGGTGTCAGATCGTGTTTGGAGCTGAATCGGGCTAAAGGCACGTGGGGACCAAGCTCTAATCTTGGATCTGCACACGTCGTGAGATGCCACAGTGCTGTCTCCTTGTCGCATCGGAATCGCTCTAGCAAATGATCGATACTCTATCCAGATCCCTTTTCAACGCCGTCAGATATAGCATCGTGATTGTCAGTCACAGGGTGGTTGGAGTGTGGGTTATTTTCAAATAAAAAAGTCAACGCTGAGCAGAGTGAAGCGCCGTTGCACTGTGGTTTGAGAGAGCTTGCCCTCGCCTATCTTCTGGCCAATCCTTGGTCTAGCATGACTTGCGGAACATTCCAAGCAGTACTCGTAAAAATTAAGGGCACCGAGAGCCCTCTCGCGAAATCGGTGTAATATCCATAATAAGCAAGCAGACAACGAGCTGGACCGTTGGCTGAAATGGCAAAGGATGATGCTAGTCAGGAAATATGTGCGATCAGGGGTTGCCTAACATTCAGAGCATCAAATGAAAGTTGATGCAAGACTAGGAACCGACCTAAGAGTTTTTTTTGCAAATTAAAAAAAATTGTATGATTTCAATTCTAAAATTTTAATTTTCAATTGTATCAAATACTACTATCACTGTCAATTTGTATAAAATTGAAGATTTGTGAAAAATCGAAGGTATCGGCTTGAAGGTACATGAGCAGTTTTAACCTGGTAAACAGAATTTCTCCGCGTAAATCACATCTGGATTCTCCACCAGGCTTCCAGTACCGTGCGGTTCGGCAAGTATACTGTACAACTCGCATTTTCGTGTGAGTGGGAAGTAGTTCAGCGAGGAGCACACCAAGGGTTCTTGATCTGGTCCCTGTTAAGAAAAAAGCTATTATTGATCGATGCTTTTGAATATTTCCATCCATTCGAGAACTCTCTCATGGGTTGTTTGAAATTGCACTGAAATTCGGCTATAATCTTCTCAAACACCTAGAGTTTTGAGTAGTGAGCGCTATACTAACACTACAGGTCAAATGAATTGAGAATAGTCAAAAGTCGAGGTATAAG